TTTTTTTTTCTCTGTAGGCCGCCGGACGATTGCGGCCGGCTTCGAAAATGTCGGTCCGCGATCACGGCAGCTCTACGCGCATATGGCCGTAGATCTCGGCCACATCTCGCACGGCCGACGTTCCAACACGTGGCCGCGAAGCGCAGCCGTCTATGCGGTCGTAAACCCCGTTTCGGCAGCCACTCGCGGCCAGATTTTTATTTTTTTTTTATTTTTGTTTTTTTAACTAAAAAAATGAAAATAAATATTAATATATATTAATATATTATACTTTAAACATATTAATATATATACTTCAAATATTAAAAAAATATTTAAAAAATTAAATATATTAATCTTTATTTTCTGTAAATTTAAAAAATATATAATAAATATTTTTGCGTTTATTTTTTTCGCTTTTAATTTTTATTTAATTAAAATTTGTAAACATATTAAAAAGTTATTTAAAAAATTTAATATATATTAATACATTTTTTTGTAGATATTTAAATAATAAATAATTAAAATTTATTCTAATATATATTTTTTTGTGTTTTTTTTTCGTTTTTTAAATATATTTATATATTTAATATTTATTTAATATATATTTATTTAATATAGGTTTTTTTTGCTTTTTTCCCTTTTTTTGGCGTTATTTTATATATATTTAAATAATAGATAATTAAAAATGTATAAATATTAGAAATATATGTAATTAATTTCATATGTATTATTATATATACTAACTAGTACAACGTCCGTGTATTACACGAGTGCTTGCTACAATTGTTTCTTACAATTTAAAATTAATATTTAATAAAATAATATATATATTTTAGTATAACACTTCTTATTTGTGCGACTTATAAGCCTGTGTATAATAATTTTTCTAACTTATAACATATAACAACATTAAACTTAAATATATTAATTGAGAAATAATTTTATTTTTCTAATTAATTTTAATAAATTCTTTTTTTATTACTATAAAGATGAATGTCATTTATTTGTTTTATATATACAATATGGATGTCAAATCGAAACTCATCAAAAGATTATTAATTTTATATATTATATATGTAAAAACCGATAAAAAAATACAAAAGTTATCAACTTTTAAAATACATTTACAATTCAATAGTTATAATAGAAAATTATATTAAAATAAAATTAATATATCTTAAATGATCATAAATAAATCAACATATTTATGGTAATCTGAACTTAATTATTTTTAGATTAAAATTAAATCAAAATCTATCCAAGCCAAATAATAAAGCATGAAATTTTGACACCTATGATCTCGAAGAATGCGAGTCTGCCAATTAGGCTCAACACATTCGAGAATTATATATAGGGGGATAATATATTACTAGGAAATAAATATATTAATATTTAAAATATATTAATATGTATATATTATTAATTAAAATATATTAATAATTCAAATTAATAAATATTCATATATATACACTAATATAGATTAAATAAAATTATTATATATTCATAAAATTTTAATAACTAGTCTAATTTAAGTTTTAAAAATAAATGAATTTAAAAAGTTTGTTTATTAATTATTAGTTTAAAATTTTGGATTTAGGCTGATAAGCATGTTGCTGAGTATGAGGGTTCTGGACCCCGACACACGTACAGTCGTAATGTGGATGCTTTCGCTCGGCGACAAAGGGAAAAGAGGCTCCGTGAGGCTCGCCGGGTACAGACTGCTCAGGCCGGCAGTTCGAGACCTCTCGTTCCTCCGATACAGAGTGGTCAGCAGTCCGGCCCACTCATGCCTGGTAGTTCGGGACGCCTCCCTCTGATACAGAGTGGTCAGCTGTCAGTGTCACTGATGTCTGGCAGTTCTGGACGTCTCCCGACTATACCTCTTGTTCAGCGGCGGGGCTCCATTTATGAGTCGGGAGTCAGGAGTCCGCAGGATGATGATGTTGATGATGCTAATGATGATGATGAGCATGCCTATGACTCGGACTCTGCTGCAGCTGAGCAGGAACTTGTATCTCCTGTGCCACAGCCACAACCACGTCCAGGTAAACGACTCGGCCGAGTTGATCCTCCACGACAGGCTGGGAGACGTTATACGGGCGCTGCAACATCCTCAGGTAAATGATCACGTATTTATTGTTGTTTAACATTAGATATTATTTTATTATTTAGTAATTTGCATCATTGATACAATCAATCACAATAAGTCGTTATATATTGATTGTTCTATTCTAATACAGGTGCGAGTAGTAAACGCCCTAAGAATGATTCGTGGATCGTTAAAGCCCCAGTGCCCGGTGGCCCCGTTGATGGGAGTGTTATACCTAGCTTTCTAGGGCACGTAGCTTCCCGTATATGGATTGGACAGTCCAGAGGCATGTTGAAATGCCAAAACAGGATGGGAGCGCACAAGGAATTGAGGGAGTGGCTCCGAGAGATGGCTCAGGCTCCGCGCGATCTGATCCTTCAGACTGGGCTGTCACATTTGGCGTCTAGCATGCATACTCACGTCGACACTCCACTTATTTCTGCATTTGTGGAGCGCTGGCAGCCGGATACCAACTCGTTTCACCTGCCTTTTGGTGAAATGAGTATCATGCTGCACGACGTGAGAGCTATATTGGGGGTTTCTTTGGATGGAGCTGTAGTCACAGGGGACCCCGACAGCCTGACATCCCAGGCGCACTGCATGGAGATCCTGGGGGTGGACCAGGGTAATCTGATGGCGAATCTTTGGGATCACGGCTCGGTGACAAATGCCGCCATTTTTGAGGCGTTGAGGAAGAATGGCGCAGGTCGGTCGGCTGAGCATGTGGCGATTGGCTGGTTGTGGATACTGCTCGCTACCACCTTGTTTACAGACAAGAGTGGTAACCGAGTCAGTCCCAAACTCCTGCACGAGATGATCGACGACGTGCAGGGAGTTGAGACTTACTCCTGGGGCTCGGCTGCACTGGCATACCTATTCAGACAGTTAGGTATTGCCAGTAGGGGGGACGCGCAGGGACTTTCGGGCTGCTTGACACTCATGCAGTCTTGGATATACGAGTACTTCCCCACGTTCCGACCCCAAAAAGCGCGTATGACCTCTGAGCCTAACTGTGTCGCCCGATCAGACTTGTGGAGCACCCCCGTCCCCGAGAGGTCAGATAAGCGCCTCAAGGATTTCCGTAGGCAGCTTGATAGGCTCACCGCCGCCCAGGTACGTTAATTAATTTTATTTACATTTAGTTGAATGTTATTTGGAATAATCGAATTATTTGAATAAATGTTTTATGCAATTGTGAACAGGTAAACTGGCTGCCATACGACCGCAAGCCACATGAGCTGGAGCCTAGGACCCTTTATTCCGGATGTCTTAGGTACCGGGATATTGTGGAGCCGTACATGCCTTTGCGTTGCTTGCGTCAGTTGGGCTACGTCCAGATTATCCCTCCTTGCATGGATCGTCCGACCAATGCATGTCGTGCCTGGGAGTCCAGGATGTATAGGGTTGAGCATGCTGTTACAACTGCAGTAGATCACTGGGACCAGTTCCCGCGGCTGCATTCTATACACTTGTCTGATTTTACTCCCACCACCGTAGATGATCTAGGGAAAGCCCATGAGGAGTACCGGCGATGGTATGATCGAGTTTCTCATCCTATACTCTTGCCTGACAGTCAACCGGACAACGACGCTGTTCCTGCGCGCGCCAACACCGATTATGTAAGTTGTTTACTAAATTTTAGTTAATATTTGTTCATTACATTTTTTTTGTTTTATAATTTATATGTGAGCATATATTTTAATTCTTGTGTTTTCTGTAGTGGGTCAGGCGGTACCAAGCCGTCACATCAAATTTGCAGCGGGATTTCGCGGCAGTTGATCCTGATATGGCGGCAATTTATGCAGAAAAATTGGCTCAAATTAAGTTTGATTTCGACCGAGCGCAGTAGTGATGTAATAAATATTTTTTTTCTTTTTTATATTTTATTTTGGATTTTGATGTATGTATCGGTGATTTTAGTAGATTTTTTTTTTTGTTTTTTAATTTATTTGTGGTTAGTTTATTTTATTTTATTTTTTATCTATTTTCAAATGTTATATTACATTTCTTCCAAAAAATTCGATAATATCACGACAAATGGTAAAAACGGTGAAATATCACAATCTATCACTCATAATACATAAAAATATAATGAATGTCATCAATCGCAAACATAAGTCGAATATCATATACCAAATTCCACCTGCAGTACGAATACCGTGCCACAACTGGAACTGCTCTTGTACTGATCCTCTCATCCTGCAACCGTCTCATCTTAGTATCTCTCCCAAAAAATACATAGGCGGTAATGGAAAATCAGAACACAGATTTACACGAATGAAGTGTTTGTAGGAACCAAGATGAGCTATGACGATCTCACGGTCAGATTGTGTCGCCGTGGATGGTGCGTGAAGCGATAATACCGTGACCTTGCTGATATTGTTATTGTTGGGACACATGTCTAACAACACGTCAACTGCATTAAACAATGTAGCAATAGCAAAGAAGTCGCCCATAAATCCATCCAATGCTCCTCGCCACAAGGACCCCCGTCTCATCTTATACGATAGATTGCAGCGTCGACCCCATCCCAATAAAATGGAGCGTACAAATGTCTGTTGGCTGCAACCTCATTTGCAATATTATTTCTTGCCAATTGCCACACCTGTTGATCCATATAAATGTAACTCGCAACCACCTGAAATCTGCAATTCCCATCCGACGTCACAACCAGATAACTCTCTACGTAGCTGTGAACTACATAAGGAATCCTCTGACAATGTCGGTACAAAGAAATTCGTCTCGAAAGTATATGTAATATCAAAATAATTTCACGTCACAATTTAGATAATCAAATTTACAAACATAATTAGTCATCGTCCAGATATATAAAAATTACTCCTCGGCACAGGAAAAAGTGCTTGTATGACCCACCGGACGACCTCTTTCCCTGTACTCCCACATCTGCGGAGCACACGAATAAGTGCTCTTACGCCCCAACCGACGACCTGTTTCCGTGTACCCCGATCGCGATGGAGTACATGAAGTGCTTTTATGCCCCGCCGTACGACCTCTTTCATTGTACTCTCATCTCGATGGATCGCGCTTTGTTGAATTGTTCTTCTTGGGCCGACCTCTCGAATTTTCCTTCACTGCAGGTTCTGTGTATCCTTGTTGGTCAGGGTGAAGTTGAGAGTCGATGAATTGGTTCAAGTACCGTACAATCGCTGGATCGACCGCTTCAACCTTCTCGGCAAGCCTCCGAAAATAATCATGATCTGTCCATCCACTCGCCGATGCACTCTGCTGATCTGTCCATACAGAAAATTTAAATATTAAACAACATACTCTATAAAAATTCTATAAATGAAACAGTACGTGAAGTAAATAAAATTAACTAGAATTTAGGAAAATTATATTTTGTACATGATGTTCTATAAATTTATTAATCTCGCAATTATATCTGGCTCCGTCACCTCTAGTGTGCTCCAAAACCTGTGGACTTGGTCGGGCATAATCGTCCTACCTACAGTGTGTGTCTCCCTTAGCTCACAAGCACAAGGAAGTCTATGAGTGTATTTTAGTGCACATCCGCAGCGCCCCGAAACATCTTTGCCAAGTCTCACATCCTTTGAAGCTCATCATTCAATACATCCATACAATAATGCGAGACCCACAGTCTCAACTGTGCGGAAGGGAATCCCCTGTAACCCGTACTCATTCTAAGTCTCGAAGACTCCAGCGTCTCCCTGATAATACATTACATAACATTAGATCCAATTAAAATTTATAATTAATGCAGTAATAACACAATCAAAATGTATTAATTAAGGAATATACTTGACTTGAGTCAGTTGAGACTCAATCTCCTTGTCGATCTTCTCCCAGACCGTGTCGAGCGAACCGGTCGACGTGTTAAGCCATCGCTTCAACGTAGCATGAGAACTCTCCACCCTACACGACTTTGTGTTGCCAAAATGTAAGCAGTGTCCGTCCACACTTAGACAAACTTCTCCTTGTGGACTAACCATGTCTGCTCCACATATTGCAGCACACGAGGAAACGCGGCGTATGTAACATTCATATCAGCTATGGCAGTTTGGTATTTATCCAATGAGCTCGTCTCAACAACCTTCTTCCACCTGCCGTGCGTGAACTTCTGGGCGAAGACCTTATTTTTTGCTGTTAGTCAATAGACCCTGTTTGCCACATCCTTGTTGATGTGCCACGTGCAAAATAAGTGGAGCGACTGAGGAAAATTCATCTAAATAGGATAATCAAGCACAACTCCCTGTCAGTGACAATGGCTGAAGGATGTACAACAGGCCCTATCAAAAGTCTCAGCCGTTAGAGAACCCAGTCATAGTTGTACTCGGTCTCGTCCTTAATAATTGCATAGGCAAATAAGGAGTTCTTGTTGCACGGCGTCTTTCCAACCATCTCCACCAACGACATATGGTACCTGTGCAAATGAAAGCGACAAGAGGAAAAAAATTATACAATAAAAAAACTTACTCAAACATACTAATTAAGATTCACATTAAATTGCTATTTGTAAAGTAACGTAACATACCTGTTTGTATTGTACGTGAAATTTATACCGACATACCAGCAATATATCCGGAATAGACTGACTGCTTGTGGATGCGACATGAACACACGTGTCAACGCCTGTGTGTCCGGATCAACATCTGTGTAAACTATGTAGTTGCTGACCGTAGCCAAATGCAGAAGCTGGCCAGCCACATCTCTACCCTCCAGACTATCTCTCTGCAATTTAACTTTTTAGTTATACACTTGTCGGCGGGTAGCGTTGTCTACGGGGTTTTTCTCATGAATCGCAGCCAAAATTGCTGTTGGTTTTGCATGACCAGCAGTCATATCACGGAAAATCTCTTTGGATGAATCGCTGAGTCCGCTCATCTATCGATGACCCTCGGGATGCAAAGTCAACGCATGATTATGCGTTCCCTTCTCATCATCATAAGGAACCCAGATACACCTTTTTTTTTTTGGTTTTTGCTTCAAATTGACTTTTATAAAAAAAGGGCAGCCAGTCGCTTTAGACTTCGAACGTCTCAAAGCAGCATTAACTAAATTTTCTATTTTTCCTACACTGCCTCTATAACGTTCCCCTCGATCACACCTCAACACTTTCTGCTTTCCTTCTTTTTCGTGTTTCGATATGACCAATTGGAAACTCCATATCATTGCAATATTTTTTGCCCATTCAATAGTTTCTTCACAACTATCAAATAGGTAAGCTGTAGTGAAACAACATCGGTTATCAAGACCGTCTCCTCTAAAATCTTCGAGTGACACCTGCAATATATTAGGATGTTTGTTAATAATTTTACAGAATAATCAATTATAACTTCTAACATAATAATAGTAATTTGTAATTTATTATATAATCAATTCTAATTTCTAACCTAATATCAATAAGTTATACTTCATAAATTAATCTAACATAATATTAATAAATTTATTAACTTATAACATAATATCAATAAATTTTATTTTATAAGATAATCCATTCATATATATAACTTAATAATTTATAGTAATATATTTTTTTCCTATTACAATATTTAATTTTTTACTATTAATTTATAATAATTATACTAAATACTAATATAATTTTTTATATACTAATATATACTAATATAGTAGTTAGTATTTAGTATAATTGAACTAATTATTATATTAATTACTATATTAGTATAAAAATTTCTATTAGTAAGTAGTTTAATTATTGTACTAATTACTAATATAATTTTTAATATATAATTTATTAATTAATTATATTAGTATATAAAAAATTATATTAGTAATTACTATTATAATTTACAAAAATTATACTAATTCCTTTTATAATTTTTAATATATATTATTTTCATATATATTAATTAGATTTTCTTTCATCAATTATAAAATATACAAAATATTAATATAATTTTATTATTAAAATTTTTAATTAATTTTTAAATATATATTAATAATTATATATTTTAATTTAAAGATTTTTAATTAAAAACAAATAAAATGCCAAAAAAAGAAAATCGGCCACGCATGGCCGCGAATGGAACGACCGACCGCCGGCCGCCGCTCGCGTCGAAAATGGACTTACCGGCCGCGAAGTGAATGGCCGAAACGAATAATCGCGGCCAACCGAGTTGTGGCCGCGGTCGTCGGCCGTCCAAACCGTCGGGCCGTGCAATTGTCAGCTGGCATGCTCGGCTGCGGCCATAATCGTCGGCCGGCTGGCCGACGGTTTTTTTTTATTTTTCAAAATTCGTTAAAATTGTAAAAAAAAATTACTTGTAAATTGGAGAGCCCTTTCCCGGTGCGTGAGGATTGTCCTGCCATTTTTTGGATTCTTTTAAGATTTTTTGATTGAGTTTGTGGGTTTTTTTTTGAATTTTATTTTTTGGCCAATCTGATTGTTAGAAATTGGTTTTAATTTTTTTTTTTTTGGTTTTTTTAAGTTAAAAAAATTGAATTTGTTATTATTATTATTTTTTAAGTAAAAGGGCAAATATGTCTTTTAGGGTGGCGGTGAATAGTAACACCCTAATAAAAAATGATAATTTATATTATATATATATATATTAAACTAGTATATATTAATAATTTGTATATATTAATTAGTTTGTATATATATATTTATTTTTTTCAC